CGGACAAATGGCTGTCCAGTCTCTTCTTAAAAACTTCCAGTGTTGGAGCATTCACCGCTTCTGGAGGCAGGTTGTTCCACTGGTTAATTGTTCTCACTGTCAGGAAGTTTCTCCTTAGTTCTAGATTGCTTCTCTCCTTGATTAGTTTCCACCCGTTGCTTCTTGTCCTGCCTCCAGGCGCTTTGGAAAATAGCGCCTGGGAGAGCACGTGCACAAAGGAACTGAAATTAATGTTATGTTAAAAGAGAACTTTTGCAAAATGTTATATTGCTGATATATGACACCAGAGAAATTATTTAATATGCATAAAGGTACTTCTAGTCAATGTTGGAATTGTAAAAAATATGAAGGGACATTTTAACACACATGGTAGATTTATGAAAATAAAAACAGATGATGATAAAAGAATTTTGAAGATTAATACTGAAGTGAAAGCAGAACTTTTTTTACTGGGACCTATAGTTAATTATAAAAAGCTTAAATGAGTAGGAAAAAAATTATTTGATCCCCTGCTGATTTTGTATGTTTGCCCACTGACAAAGAAATGATCAGTCTATAATTGTAATGATAGGTTTATATTAACAGTGAGAGACAGAATAACAACAAAAATGCCAAAAAACGCATTTCAAAAAAGTTATACATTGATTTGCATTTTAATGAGTGAAATAAGTATTCGATCTCCTATCAATCAGCTAGATTTCTGGCTCCTATGTATTTTTTATACAGGTAACGAGCTGAGATTAGAAGCATTCTCTTAAAGGGAGTGCTCCTAATCTCAGCTTGTTACCTGTATAAAAGACACCTGTCCACAGAAGCAATCAATCAGATTCCAAACTCTCCACCATGGCCAAGACCAAAGAGCTGTCCAAGGATGTCAGGGACAAAATTGTAGATCTACACAAGGCTGGAATGGACTACAAGACTATCACCAAGTAGCTTGGTGAGAAGGTGACAGCAGTTGGTGCATTATTCGCAAATGGAAGAAACACAAAATAACTGTCAATTTTCCTCGGTCTGGACTCCATGCAAGATCTCACCTCATGGAGTTTCAGTGATCATGAGAATGGTGAGGAATCAGCCCAGAACTACACGGGAGGAACCTATCAATGATCTCAAGGCAACTGGGACCGTAGTCACCAAGAAAACAATTGGTAACACATTACACCATGCAGGACTGAAGTCCTGCAGCACCTGCAAGTTTCCCCTGCTCAAGAAAGCACAGGTAGAGGCCCGTCTGAAGTTTGCCAATGAACATCTGAATGATTCAGAGGAGAACTGGGTGAAAGTGTTGTTGTCAGATGAGACCAAAATCGAGGTCTTTGGCATCAACTCAACTCACCGTGTTTGGAAGAGGAAGAATGCTGCCTATGACCCCAAGAACACCAACCCCACCATCAAACATGGAGGTGGAAATATTATGCTTTGGGGGTGTTTTTCTGTTAAGGGGACAGGATAACTTCACCGCATCAAAGAGACGATGGAAGGGAACATGTACCGTCAAATCTTGGGGGAGAACCTTTTTCCCGCAGCCAGGACATTGAAAATGAATCGTGGATGGGTATTTTAGCATGGCAATGACCCAAAACTCACAGCCAAGGGAACAAAGGAGTGGCTCAAAAAAAAGCACATTAAGGTCCTGGAATGGCCTAACCCTAGCCAGTCTTCAGACCTAAATCTGTGGAGGGAGCTGCAGGTTCGAGTTGCCAAATGTCAGCCTCAAAACCTTAATGACTTGGATATTTTTTCCCCTCACTATATGTTAACTGCAGTAAGATTATTACATGTCAAAGAGGGAGAAATTTTGAAATATTCACAATGGAAGAATGGATTGTGAAAATGGTAGAATTAGCAGAGATAACAAAACTGTTTTGTTTGGTCAGGACAAGACAATATAAGTACTGTTATAAAAGACTACGGCCTTTTATAGACTTTTTATTGAAAATGGAAAAAAGTGAAATAGTGATTTCTAGATTTGATGACTGAAAAAAGAGACTGAATAAGGACCCGAAGGAATCACTGTAATATTAAGGAGGAAGGTGTGATAATGAATTAATTTGTAACTTTTGTAAAAAAAAGAGTGGACATCTTCTATTTTTTCTTCCTTTCTTTAACTGTATTTTTTCTGCAATTTTCCTTTCTCCTTTTCTTTCTTTTCTTTGTATATTTCTGTATTCATCTTTAATTTAAGTAAATGTTTTAATAAAAATTAATTTTAAAAGAAAGAGAGAGAAGAAGAGGGAGAGAGTCGATAAATTTAAAATACTGTATTTAAAATACTGACTTTTAAAGCTCTGTATCATGATTGCCCAACCTTTTGGTTTGCCTGTGCCATACTGGTTGAAGATGAATTGACTTGGGCCATGTATAAAATATATAATATAGTTAATGTATATAAATAACAAGTGTTCTTTATTTTTTATATTTTTTATTATCTTGTGGGGTAACATTACTAGTTGTCCAGGGTCATATGTGGCCCGTGGTCCATGGGTTAGACATTTATTTGCTTTATATACCGTAGTCTAGTACCAGGATCTTCAAGATTTAATCATTTTGACCAGAACATTTTTTCTTGATGCCTCCTCTGGCAAAGTGGTCACTGTCTAATTACTAAACTTAAAGTTGATGTTAATTCTTTTCAATCACACAAACAGATCTTCAGTATGATCTATCCCCAGTCTGGCCCTTCAAGTCTTCAAATGTTGCACCCATTGACATTGTAATTGATTTTACCAGTTTTGCTACTGGACACCCTCTTCTCTTTTCTCCCAAATGAACCTGGTCATTTGTGCCCTAAGTGAAAACTCTGGATTGAATTGTTATATGATCACTTTACTTTTTTTTTCTTGGCTATTTGTGATATTCTCAGAACTCTTCTCTATCACTAAAATACAAAACAACACTTGTTCTATCCTACCCTGCTTTTTCAAAATCCAATGTTTGCTTCCATAGAGTTCACAACAAAACCCATTGCTTGCATGACTTTGATGTTGGTAAGCATAGACACAATACTGTATCTGAATATCTTTTCAAGGCCCTAATTGTTACCCTATAAGTGCTAGTCTTTGATGTACTACTTAATTGCTGTTTCATTTACTGTTGATAGTCAATCTTAAACGACAGGTAATGTCCACTTCAATTATCTTCATTGTCAATTATAAAGCTTGCTGTGGGACCTGCTGTCATTAGTTTGTTCTTCTTTATATTTAATCTTATTCCCATTTTTTCCTTTTCTTGACTTTCTAGATTACTAGAACTTTTTAACCAATTAATCAATCAATAACATTCAGAAAATGCCCATCTCCCTCACAGAGGGACTCTGGGCTGTTACAAATAAAATGCTGAAAACATAAAAGCAGAATATAAAATTTAAAAGAGAGGCAGATCATTTGCATTGTTAAAGTAATGTTATTAGCATAGTTTAGGTTATCAATATTTCTTCATCCAGTTTTAAAACTATGCTCATCTTGTTTCAATCCAGTCTCCTTCAATAATGGCAATTCTTTGACTTCTTTCAAACTTAAATAAGGATTTATTAACTAGGATCTTGAATAAACATCTAACTTGAAGGCTACCTAGCCATTCTGTAAGACTAAGTAACAGTTTACCTCAGTATATCCCATGCTAGCAGCAGCAATGAGTGCTTGTTGGATGGCCTGGCTTTTTTTGAACACTCCTTGTAGCTGTCCAGCCATTGTCCAGTCACACTGAATCAAAAATTTGACAACCTCCAGGTGACCTCTAAGAGCTGCATGTACCAATGCACACTGACCATTCTTGTCCAAGTGATCCACCTTGACAACAAAAGGAAAACCACAATTAAAATTAAATTGTTTCAGTAACTCTCATTGCAATATTCATATAGAAATATTTCTACTATGTTTCTCTAGCTAAATATATGCAGAATTAGCCAGAATAAGTTCCTAAAAATTGGTGTCCTTTGAAAATAGATGTTCTATAATACAAGCAGTCCTTGATCTAGTCATTCATTTAGCAATCCTTCAAAGTTACAACAGCAAATAGGTCTATGCCCTGTTGCTGGAATTTTGGTTGTCCCAACATTACCATGGGCATGTGATTGTGATCTGTGTGCTTGACAACAAGTTCGCACTTATAACTGTACCTCATCCTCACTCCCACCGTCCCCAATTTGCGCCAAATTCTTGCACCCTCCCTGATTCATGTTTCATTCACCCACACACATCTTTGTACACCCTTCCTGACTCATACCTCTTATGTATCCCCTTGTGCACCCTCCCTTTCCCTCCTCCTTCCCCAAGCTAACCCCACCCCCCACCCCCATCAGGCAGCAGCTACTTATTTGCCTCTCAGCTTAGAACTTGCAGCTTGTTGCTGGCTTCCCCATGAACATTGGTTGTTGCTGTAAGGACCTGCCTCAGTTAATCCTCCCAAGAAAGCAGAACTCTTGAAACTTGCATTGTCCCAATGGGAACTTTTATTGGAAGTTATTGATGGCAGGAGAGTAAGATACTAAAAGAATCCTTTCAAACCCAACCCCAAATGTCCAACTGGCCAATTTGAATTGAACCAATGCATAGGTATTAAGTTGTTGTGAGAAACCAGTGACAAGGTGCTGTTCTCAAGGCTGTCAGGTTTCTCCTTGGCTACTTCACATCTGACTGGAGATAAGGCAGATGGCCAGAGGCACATTCCTTTCACATCCCAAGTAAGATACTCCAAAGAGGATAGAACAAAACAGAGGAAATACATTGCAGCAGACACATAGGTCACTCCCCCCCTTTCTAAGCACAAGCCTCCCCCCATTATGGAAGGCGGTTGCCATAACCCAATTATAAAAAAATTGTCCTTTTTGCTGCACTCCTGGGCTGGATTGGCTGGGGTTGGACTTTGCACTATGGCTGGAGCTGCTTTGGGAATTCCCCCCTCCCCCACGAAAACCCAGCTCCAGTCTGGCCCAAGATGTGGCACAAACAGTTTTTTGATATGCTGTGGCTTTAGGGCTCCTCTTTTCCTAGTACAAAGCCTATCCAAGCCTGGCCCAGTAGCCTGGCCAGACACTCATTAGCAGTGAGAACAAGAAACTAATGAAGGTGCAGGGCAGCAGAGGTCTTGCAAGATGGCAAAGGTGGCTGGCTGGGACTGGGACTGAGCTGGAGTGACTGTACCTTTCCAGAGCATGGCAAGCAGCCCAAGAGCCATGCATTCAGGGGTTGCTTGCTGCCTTGTAGGGCAGAGTGCTGGGTGACTAAAAGGACAGAGATGGAGAGGAAGTAGGTGAGTAGGAAGAGTTGGAGACAGTCCCTTTATCTCAGGGCTAGCAGGGACCAAGCCCAGAATGGCTTGGTTTGGGATTGGTACTCATTTAAGGACTTGTGATCCTTGGTCAATGGCAGCAACTGGGACTGCTAAGATTATTGTTGCTAAGTGATGTGGTCACATGACAGCTTGCTTTGTATCAGAAATACTGATCCCAATTATGGTTGTAAATTGAGGACTATCTGTATTTGACATGTACTGATGCATTTTTTACATATTTTATATTATATTTCATAGGCACGTCAGAATTAAATTGCCCACCCTTTCATTTTGGTAGTGAAATGATTACTACTCCCACATAGTTAATCTTTATATTGCTGCCTGGTATTTTGGCTTGATTGATATGAAAGTCCTCGATCTCATAGAAATCTCCATTTTCTTTAGTTAAAAGGTAGTAAATTTAGTTGGATTTCTCATATTTGTCTTGCAATGAAGCAGGTACCCTCTACAGGTATAGCTTCCGATATCTCTTCTGCTATGTAGTCTGCAGTAATGACATATTCTGTTGTACCTACTGGGCTAAATGATTCAAATTCTGGATTAGTTGGTTGACTTGAGTAGCTGTCTTATGTGTATACTGAAACAATGTCTTAACTGGGCAATAGCCATTGTTCTGAATCCCAAATGGGTATGTGATGGTTCTCCCCTCACTGATGCAGAAGTGTAGAAAGGGAAATCAAGCTATTTATCAGACTCAACCTCAATAAAAGTAACCTAGGCACTTGACGTAATATGATTAATTAAAATTTTTGATTTGTCATAAGATGGAAGACACTTACAATAAATCAACTGAATACCTTTTGCCAAAATGAGGATATAGTATTTCCTTATACTACAGTTCAAACCTGGCAGTCCTCTTTCCCATGCTTTCTTCATCTTAGCAGACACCTTGCTTGCATTGCTCATGCATAATGTGAGGTGGTAGTATATTATTAATATATTCAACATTCCCATCCTGGGAAATACTAGTTCCCAATATATTGTATTTCTTATATATGCAATATGTCAGGGTATCATACAGATTGCATTTCAGTTTGGATCCTCAACTTTTTCAAAGTAGCTGGAAAAAGTTTATAATACCACTTTATACAAATAATGCTGAAATTTTCTCATAAACTCAATCAGTCACCTGCTTTGTAATAGCATGTCACATCCTGCTACTCTTCCTTAACTGAAATGTGTATTTTTCTTATGACTGCATGATACCAAAGGAGCTCAGGGAAAAATAAAGCTGTTTTAAATCATTGTTTACAGTGTAGCATGTACAGTATGCCCATGCCTGCTCCATAGCACATTTCCAGCTCCAGATATGAAATGCACATCAATAATATCTAAGTATTTTATTTTTTACTAGTTGTTTAATCAGAAATCTGATTTGTTTAATCTGATTCAATTAAATTAAAGAGCAACTCCACCCTATTGCACCACAATCCCACTTAGGTATTCTAGATACTGTAGCTCAACTATGCCAACTTAGCAGCCACCCATTCCAACCCCTTCATCACCTTGGCTCTCTTCTTGCATAAAAGTGCCACAATGCTTAAATAGCCAGCAGCAGCAGCATAACCAAGAGATGTTAAACCACTTTCAGAAGAGGCATCAACATTTGCTCCAAACTCCAACAGCAAGGCTACCATCTCAGAGTAACCAAGGTGAGACTGGACACATAAAATTGGGGCATTGTTTAGCACTTCAGTCCTGTAATTGATGTTGGCACCTCCTAAGATCAGCAGACGACTGACCTATGCAACAAGAAACAGAATAGTAATATATTAGAGCAATATTCTCCAGATTTCTAATACCTGAGAAAATTTGATTTTCTGAACTGAATTAATTCAGTGTTTTTGGTACTAAATCTCCCCAGACTGATTTTGAATTGGATGAGCAATTCTTGAAATACTGGAATGAGAAGAATAGAGATGAATGGAATGAATGATTATTTACTAATAGCTGCAATTCTTTGAATGGTTATTTGTAAATTTAATTTAATTCATTTGATTTAGGTGCCATCCAACTCCAAAAGATATTGAGGACTCATAGTACAACGAAAGAATAAAATACAATATAATTCAAAAGCCAACCAGTTGAAAGATTTAAAAAAGCAGATGAAAAAACAAAATAGTGAATCTGGATATGAGTAAAACTCAGAAGGGGTTTCAAACACCTTAGTCCAAGATTCCAAATTATAGCATGAGCTGTGCCTGGTTACATGTTATACATGGATAACGGGAGTCTAACAAAAAATTTTGTGTACTGTAGAAAGTCCTGAATAGGTTCTACCTAATTCTGCCCAATTTTAGCCTAAGATTATATTCTTCTCAGCTTCTGTGGAAAATTTACAAAAAGCCAAATAAAAGTTCAAAAATTATTCTCTCATTCTTCTGCTCTAGTTTAAGCTTTGCATAGGAAATAAATTAGGACAGGAGAAGCAATAACATCTTGTACTAGCTGGTAGATCAGGTGTTCCAAAGTCTGAAATGGTTTTTCAATTAACAAACTAAGAGACTGTGCCATTGGGGGAAAAAATTGCTTACTAGAAGAGTGAAGATGAAAGAGGAATTTGGAACTTGATCTTCACTAACTCATTAAGCCATGAGATTGAAGGAGAAGTTGATTAAATTAAGGAATCACCAAAACTGTAATTGTTTCCTTCTGACTGGTCAGAGTGAGCTGTATTAAATAGTGAACAATGTACTGGTTTGGATATGTGGTGTTAACAGGCCTCACTTCTGGGCATTGAGGAAATGACATACTTTGAGTGAGAAGCTATGTTGGCTAAAGCCTGATTGTAGGACTTCTAAAGGCAAATTGAAGAAAACAAATGTAATGTGGACATGAAAACAATCCCATACAGCCCATTGATTGTGGATTCTTTCAGGAGGAAGACTGAAATGCTTAGACAGAAGAAGACCCAAAAAACAAGGAATGGAGAACCACAGATTGCCCTAAGGATATTATCATTAGATTAAAATAATCAGGCCTTCAGACATCTTTTTTTTTAAATTATTAAATAATTTAATAATCACAAAGCTGGAAATTATCACATTTATTTTAGATTCTATTGAAACAGGGGACTGTTATCTTTGCTTCTTATGTTTGATATATTTGCATGAAGGTTGTGAAACTTCTTTATCTTTTCATTAAACATGTATTGTTTTTGCATAGTCCTATCTAAGATGAAAAGGGTGGGGTGGCCAAGCAGTTAAGATGCTGGGCTTGCTAACTGGAAGATTGGCAATTTGAGGCATAAGTACCACAAGACAGAGTGAACTCCCATTACTTTCCCAGTTCTTGCCAACCTAGCAGTTCAAAAGCATGTAAATGCAAGTAGATAAATAGATACCACTTCTGTGGGAAGATAATACCATTCTGTGCATCTTTAGTATAGTCAACCTGGCCACATGGCCATGGAAGTGTCTTGGGACAACACTAACTATTTGGCTGTGAATTGGAGATGAGCATCATCCCCTAGAGTAGGACGCAACTGGCAGGGGTCCTTGGTGCTCTCTGAGCTTGGTTGCTTTCTTACAGAACTTTTATTACCCAAATTAGCTAACATAATCAGTGCTAGAAGAATCGATCCTTCTTCTACAACTGTGCCCATTCCTTTTCTCTTCCTTTTCTTTCCCTGACCTCAGTTTTCCTCATCTCTAAAACAGTCTTCATTAAAATTTCTTTTATTCTTTGTTATCTAAATTAAAGCATCCACAAATCTGCTTTGCCATGCTTCTCTCCCATTCCAGAGCTGGTACATCATGCCATCCTAAATGTTGTTGCTGCCTGCCTGGCATAGCCTTAATAGGATAGTGCTGGACTGTTGCTGTATAGCTTTAATTTCTAACATTTTAAGATATATGATTGATGATTTCCTCAGCTGTAATTGTAGCTTTATCCAATATCAACCACAACATAAAAAATCTGTTCCAATACTGCAATTTATTCTTTTAATTTTGTCATCAATTGACTTTTTAATTTATTTTTTAAAGTTGACAGTTTAACCTTTTGGTAGCAACAAAAAGAATTAGTTTTTTGTCTCTTTTGGCTGCAACTTGGATCAGTCATCTCACAAACTGGTTACTGCAGTGCACTTTGAATAGGCTACGCTTGAAGAATATGCACCAGTTACAACTGCTCCAGAATGCAATGATGTAGACAGTGATGGCATCCATTGCTTCATGATTTCCATTGGTTGCCAATAGGCTTTCAGCCTAAAATTTTAATAAAATTAATATATAAGGCTAAATAATTCCCATTAGATTGATTTAGTCAGATTTTGAATAGAACTCTGTGCAGGTGTATAACTCATATACAGTATAAATTGAACTGCATAAGTTTTAAGAATTGGTAGGTCTTTATAAAGAAAGAGATAGAAAATGTTTTTTCAATATTACTGCTGGCAACAGAAAAGACAGGGACAGATAGTAGTCAGGTCTGGGGTTGTCCCTCCCACTGAAAACATCTTAGCCATAGATTCATTAAAAAAAAACAATAAAAAGAGTACCAGTGTAAAATCTATTATGTATAATAGATAGAGATTGGGAAAAAGAATGAAAATTTAAAGAATCTCTGAAGATTTTAGAATTTTCATATATTATTTCTTAAAAATTAAAGTAACAGATTGAGAACAAATTTAGGATCAGGATGGAGAGAATATACTGACTTGACCATTCTTGTTTGTTTTGTTTGTTATCTGTACATCTTCTAAAATTCTTGATGAATTGTTAAGAAATATTTTTTTAATCTCCTAACACTCTGGAGCGCTATTTGCTGGTAGAAAGGCAAGATATAAAACTAATACATGAATTAATAAAATTCTCTATTGCTTCAATGAGCTCTACAGAGTTGTTCTTGAAGACCACTTGGTAGCTTCAACTAGGCCAGAGTACAGTAGCATGGAGAGTGATGGATATGCCTCAGCGTATTCACATGACACTCTTGCTTTGCAAATTGCATTAGCAGCCAGTTTGCTGCTGGGTGCAATCCAAGATGCTGGGTATAATGTATAAAGCCCTACATGGCATTAGTTGGGGGACTATTTATATACTGTGGTGTCTCCCCAGCTGGTTCAAAGCAACAGGGTTGGCATGCTTGGGTTCCTTAAATCAGTATTATCTATTGAAATCCAAAAAGCATGACATCTGCCTTCTAGAATGAGAATCACCCTGAAATGCAGGTAGCTTCCACATTGACAGTGTCTGTTTTTCCCCCAGACACTGAGCTAGGTGAGCTGCAGTGTCTTGCTGGGTGTGTAATATATGCTCCTGTGTGCTAGCTGGATTTGTCATTTCATTTAATTCTTTCTATATAGATTATATATTTTGTGATTTATTGCTATGTTTAAGAGCTGTGGAGAGTGGTCTAAGTTGGGCAATGTCTAAATCAAATGAATGAATGAATGAACGAACGAACGAATGAACAGATAAAATACAACAACTTACATTAATTATATCAAACAAAGATGTAACAAAGATGTCAGTAAAATGTCCTTAGAAGTAAGGAAACTGGATCTGATAATTTGGAGAAATACCTTCAGATCTATGGAAATCATAATTTATAATATTTGATAGACATAAAAGGAAGACAAAATGGAAAGGTAATTCACTGGAATATAAAAATAAATTTTGCTAAATTTCTGCTACAAGTAATTCTTCACTTCGTAAAATCTCTGAAACATTTGCTTAGTGACTATTTAAAGTTATGATGGTGCTGAAAAAATTTGGACCTTGGACTTATGACTGATCCTCATACTTACAACTGGAGCCCCATGGAACCATGAACAAAATTTGAGTGCTTGGCAACCAGCATGTATTTATAATGATCACAGTGTCCCAGGGTCAAGTAACTGCCAGCTGACTTTCAACAAACAAAGTCAATGGGGAAGCCAAATTTGCTTAATAACCATGTGATTCATTTAACAACCACAGCAAAAAAGATCATAAAATCAGGCACAACTCATTTAACAGTTGCCCCACCCCCTTAGCAATGGAATTTCTGTCCCCAATTGTAGTTGTAAGTTGAGGACTACCTGTTTTTGAAACAGGAAGTACTAAGTTTCTGAAATATTAAAAAAGTTGAACAAAAGTGAAGGAGGTTGCCTGATACAGGTGAAACAAGGATATTATCCAACTTGTTCTGATGTAATGTCAAAAATCTAAGGACAACTAAATGTTCAGTTGTTTTCCAGATCAAGACAAAACCAGAACTGGGAAGGATTGTTCTTTCCAATAGGAACATCTATCAAAATATTGGCTTTGCTTAATGGAATGAGTAAAATAGGATAAGCAGGATAACCTGCTCCACTTTGGAATGAGCAGGAGAAGATATAGAGGATAATATGCTCCACAAAAGGACCCTACACTTAAAAGCTTTGCCCACCTACCATTGTCTTGGTTTTTAAAAAATATTTTTTAATTTTTTCCAGGAGAGAATATCTCTTGGCATTAATAGAGGTTTCACTTCAAACCCAAAGTAACTAGTATTAGGGAAAGAGGATCAAGAGAAAGGGCTCAATCCATCTCTCAAAATAACAGAGTTGGAAGGAACCTTGAAGGTGTTCTAGTCCAATCCCCTGCTCAGGCAAGAAACCCTATACCATATGTTATAATGTTCAGGATTACCAGAGCTGCTATTTATATAAGGAAAATATTGATATTAATCACATTTATGAAATTAATGTCATTTTAGTTTGGTATCAACATAACATAATATTAAGCAAAGAGGCAATTCCATAAGGTGGATCATGGGTAACAAACTGTGTTGATCGATGTCTAATTTCTCTAAGTCCAATCAGTTTATTCATAACTTCAGAATCTTAAGTTTCTATTTAAACTCAACGCTGCTATTTTGTCAAAATCAAAAGAGGATTTGTCTCTGCAATATGAAACTTAAAAGGCAATCTCTATTTTAGTACCTTTATATTGGGTGTATACAAATTGCGTAGAGAGGCCAGTGCCATGGAAAGACCTTCTGAGCTATAAGAAATCCAAAGCCCTTGAAGAATTGAGGAAGAGACACCAACTTTTTTACTAAGCCCCTGAAAAAGATAAACATTATATAACTCTAAGCATTTATTTTCATTTGTAGTTAAGCCTCATGAACAATTTAATCTCAAATCTATTAGCAGTAATTCAAACTTAAAAGTGTATAATTTCCTTAAGACAATGCAAAAATACTGTAACAGATGGAATGTTTTAAATTATATGCTCAAAGAAAGAAAAGCCAAAGTATCAATGATCATATTTTTACTGTCACTTATTAACTTTTCCTCCTACCTCTCTAATCCTGAATCAGATATGAAAATAATCAGATTGCTGTGATTGTTTAGCATTGGATCGTCACTCATTGAAATTAGGATTCCTTCAGACACATTTTTATGACAATTTTAGTGCTCCATTTTTTAAAAGATTTTGGGCTTTACTAAAAGCCTATAAAAATCATTTCTGATCTACAAACGATATTTCAACAATGGAAAAATATTTTAATGAGGATTTATCAATTATAACACAGTTTTAGAAGAGGATCTCCGATTAGTGATTTCCAAGTCAAACACAAATTATTTTCAAAATTCTTGTCAATCTTGCTCACAAGATTCACAAGAGAGAGGTGAGATAACAATAATCATTCATATTGTCCTTCAGTATATTTATTTACTATTCCCTTCTATATTTTGGATGAGAAAGAATGAATAATGGATGAAATTATGTCAATAAAAGGTTTAGAATTATTATTTGCTGTGTCTGATAACAACAGAAAAAGCATGCAGGAACATTTAAGTTTTCTCTTCCCATCTTATATTGTTTTGGCAGTGAGCTATCTGAGAATGGAAACTTGACTCTCCCTGTTAACTGATTAAACTACAATACTAATATATAACTCAGATGGTAAGCATTGTTTATGCTTTATTATAACAGCAATACACACCAGTATACAGAATCCAACAAAAAGATGCCATCATTTTTTTTCTGCCTACCTTGAAGATGTGTGCTTTGAGAATATGATGGCCCAACTCAATTGTCTGCTGCCTGTTGAGTTTTCCCTCTTGACGGGAAAACCAAAAGGCAAGTAAAGTATGACCGCTCCTAAAGAGAGGGAGGGAGGGAGGGAGGGAGGGAGAAAGAGAGAACAAACACAATGGGAAAAGGAACCCAAAGGTCTAACTTCAACACATGTAAAGACACTTAACAGCTAGATCCTAGAAAAGTGTTGATTTCACTTATATAATTTATTTACATGATAAACTTCTGCTAAATAAATTGAATTCCACTTAACTGAATATCAAATACTATTCAACTTTTAATTTCATGTAAGTAATCTCCTTGCTTTAGACTGAATAAAATCACTGACATATAAGTAGAGTTAAATTGATAACATGAAAAATACATTTATCAAGTATGAGCTTGCAGATGTGATTTTTTACCATGATCATGTAGAAAAAATATGTGATGAAATAATCTATCTTTACTATTATCTTGGTTGTAATCAGTAATTTTCTTTGAATTCTTGTGGAGTAATAATGATTTGTGCATATGTACTTCATATTTAAATATTATCAAAAAACTAATAAAGATTTTAGAACTTGCTATTAATTAATGGATTTATACTTCTTTTGATTGATTATACTTCAGTGGTATTTCTCTCTGTGTTAGTCTGTGCCTCCTGGCAATTGCCTGAATAAGTCCTTGAAAGTTTTCTTCACAGCAAATGGTTTGCCACTGCTTTCTTCCTAGGACCAAGAATGACTTGCCAGCTGGCAACATGCCTGAGGCAGGTTTAGAACTCACAGTCTCCTGGTTAATGGCTGATTCCTTAACTATTACACCAAATCTATTCTCTTTTTCTCAGACATATGTTGAAAAATTAATGATGAGAAGGGAGCAGGTAGCTTCCAGGAAGCAAACTGCTTTCACTCCCATGAATTGGGCTGTAGGTTTGATCTCAGAGTTTGGCAATTTGGCTGCAAACATTTCGTCTCCATTGGGGGGGGGGGAGAAACATCTTCAGTGTGCTTTGAATTGTGTTCATCTGCCAGAGCACTGGACTGTAAATTGGTGTGGGCGTTGTCTGGATATTTCTGAGTCATGGTCTGTTATGACTCAGAAACATCCGGACAAACAACACCTACACCAATTTAAAGTCCAGTGCTCTGACAGATGAGCACAATTCACAGCACACTGAAGATGTCTCCCCCGAATGGAGACGAAACGTTTGCAGCAAAATTGCCAAGCTTGGAGATCAAACCAACAGCCCAACTACCAACCCAAGCTACTAATATTCAAACACATTTCACTCCCATGAGTATTTCATCAATCATTAATCATTAATCAGAATAGAGCTGGAAGGGACCTTGGAGGTCTTCTAGTTCAGCCCCCTGCTCAAGCGGGAGTCCCTATATCATTTCAGAAAAGTGGCTGTCCAGTCTCTTCTTAAAAACCTCCAGTGATGAAGCACCCACAATGTCTGAAGGCAACTGTTCCACTGGTTAATTGTCCTGACTGTTAGGAAGTTTCTCCTTAATTCCAGTTTACTCCTTGATTAGTTTCCATCCGTTATTTCTTGTCTTGTTTCTGGTGCTTTGGAGAATAATTTGATCCCCCTCTTGTTTGTGGCAGTCCCACAAATACTGGAATACTGTTATCATGTCCCCCCTAGTCCTTCTTTTCTCTAGACTGGCCATACCCAAATCCTGCAAACACTCTTCATATGTTTTAGTCTCCAGGCCTTTAATCATCTTAGTTGCTCTTCTTTGCACTTTTTCCCAAGTCTCAACATCTTTTTTGTAATGTGGTGACCAAAACTGGATGCAGTATTCCAGATGTAGTCTTACTAAGGCTTTATAAAGCAGTACTAATGCTTCACATGATTTTGATACTATGCCTCTGTTTATACAACCAAGGGTTGTATTAGCCTTTTTTCGCTGCTGCTGCTGCACACTGCTGGTTCATGGTTAAGTGATTGTCAACTAGGACTCCAAGGTCCCTCTCACAGTTACTGTTTTTGAGCCAGGTTTTGCCTAATCTGTACTTGTATCTTTCGGTTTTCCTGCCCAGGTGCAAACCTTGCTTTTCTACACATTAAATATTATTTTGTTGGATAGGACCCATTGTTCAAGTCTGTCAAGATCTTTTTGGATCCTGAGCTTGTCTTCTGGAGTGTTGGCTATTCCTGCCACCTTGGTGTCATCTGCAAATTTGATGAGATCCCCTTCTATTCCCTCATCTAAGTCACTTATGAAGATATTGAAGAGTACTGGGCCTAAGACACAACTTAAACCACTGGAATACTTATGTATATATGTGTGTTTCTATACTTATATCATATTAATATCACCATTCATCTCACAAAAACATTACTCTGGGCTTAATGTTAAAATAAACTTTCTTTTATGAGTGACTGGAAAAATGGCAAAAATATGTTATAATTTTTAGATAATGAATGATATTTGTTGTTTAAAGATACCTATTTTTCAAATTGCTAAAGGAAACTTTAATGGCTCCACAAAAGATAATCTGGAAACCAATTATAAATAATTTTCAAAATTATTTACTATTTTTTGGATAATTAATTCTTGATGGAGACATAAATCTTGTTATGAACTTTCAATTGGATATACTCCTCCAAAAATGTATTTATAATCAAATTTGGACAATTATGCAAAATTACCTGCAAGAATTTAACTTGAATGATAATTGGGGGTACGTCCTGGTTTAAAGAGATACTATACTTTTATATCCAAGGTCCAGGAACTATTTTTTTAGATCAGATCCTTTTAAAAATGTATTTTTATTTGTTTGTTCTGATACACAAATTAATCTTACTGTTGATTTCATATAATTTTAATTATATTAACAGTTCATCTTAATGAGTGTGAGTTAGTTAATTATGATTTTTTAAAAACTTTTTAACACCTTTTCAATGATTTTTTTTCTGGAAGTGGACTTCTAGTGATACATTATGGCAATCTAATTGTGTTCGAGGTGGAGAAACAGTGTCATAGCTTGGGTATGGCTGATGACTAGTGGTGGATGCCTGAAATCTTTCTCCAGATGGAGGAAGTGTGAAATGAGCCTGGAGATTCATTTAATCTCCAGACAGCCTCTCCTCATGAGTAAACTGCAAAGGCAGTGTTAGTGTATAAATTAAGAGAAAGAAAAGAAGATGATTTTGAAACGTGTAGCAGGAGTTCTGTATTAGCAGACAATAGGGTTATACAAAAACTTTTCATCAGTACAATTCTAACTTGTACAAAGGAGGTGACATGCCCTTGGAAATGATAAATTATTATTTTAAAAAATGAAATTTAACAACATCTACAAAAAACCAAATGCAGATTAAGTGAAGTTTCTTCAGCTATAAAAAAGATTAAATCAGGAAAAATATCAGGACCAGATGGATTATCAGGTTCTTATTACAAATACTTTAAAGATAAACTTTTAGAATCCAAAATAAAATGAATTCTATCTTAACATGCTAGAGCAGGGGTCTTCAAACTTGGTCCTTTTATGACTTGTGGACTTCAACGTGTTCAGCGTGCCTGGCTGAGGAATTCTGGGAGTTGAAGTCCACAAGTCATAAAAGGGCCAAGTTTGAAGATTCCTGTGGGCCAAGTTTGAAGATTCCTGTGCTAGAGTATAGGAAACAGATTTACATAGCATTAATACCTAAAGAGGGACAAAATTTAACTTTACATTAAACCACAGATCAATATCTTAACAATGTGGAACAGATATAAATTTAAGTTGCTTCCAAAAGTACCTTTTTGACTGTCACCATAAGAAGCATTTTATAAAAGAGAAATGATAACTAAGCATAATTGGTGATTTATTAGAATTCATCCAAGGAAACATTGACACAAAATCGAGAGGATTTGATATCAGAAGAGTTCATATGTCAATAGTTTTCCTATGTACAATTACCGTATTAGAAAGATTAACATAAAATAAAATGATTTTTTGGTTTTGAATATGGTAAGACAGAATTTGAAACAGAATTATTTACATGTTATTGCTAAAATGTATAAATGCTTACTGGAAACTGAAATAGAATATGAACAAGTGAAATAATGTATGGTAAAATGGGCCAAAAATGTTTGGATATAATATACAAATGGAACAATGGGATAATATGTGAATTGAAATTCACATTGTGTTTTAATTCTAAAGAGAATTTTTATAAAATGATTTATCATTGGTATTTGTCACTGGAAAAATACCTAAAATATAGATCAGATGCAAGGAACCAGGATGACACAGGTAGCTGAACAAAATGGTATGTTTACTGTTCTTCATCTAATGCATTTATAGTCTAATATAAGACTAATGCATTCACTAGAGAAACTACTATATAAGCACTGCAAGTTTAGGGAGGGTCTGCTTTCTATTGTTTCCTCCTCCTCAGAGATTCCAACTTTTTTTTTTAAAAAAAAAAAACCCATTCTTTCTATCTTACAACTTCTAAATGAAAAATTAGATGAACAGTTTGATGAATTAGCAACAGTTTTAAATCTGTCTAAAGTAGATACTCAGATTCAGGCAACAGCAATTAAATCAGGCATGCAATTGGGAGAAGGCTGAAGGGGGTATTAACTCAAAAAAATCAGTTACAACAGAGATGATAGGATGGATGAGTGAAGATGCAACCAGAAGACAACTGTTAAGAAATATTGTGTTTCACTTTGCAGGAAAATTTGCTGAACAAGTGCTGCTGAGATATTCTCAATGAAGACCTATAATTTTGGAGAGTGACATGCAGTTTTTGGAAAGATCCCAATTATAATTTTAAGGAAAAGTATAGATGATCAACTCGAAGGAATTATTGTTATAGTGGGTCCATGGGAGATTAAAAGCTGTTAGTGGATTTTCTGCGAGTTAAATACAATAACAGATTTTTATCAGAGGACTTTGAAGCTTAGCTTTGTTGTTGGGATTACAGGTAGTCCTTGACTTACAACAGTTCATTCAGTGACCATTTGAAGTTACAAAAGCACTGAAAAAAATGACTTATGATCATTTTTCACATGTATGGCCAGTGCAGGATCCCCATGGTCATGTGATTTACACTCAGATGCTTGACAACTGGTTCATATTTATGATAGTTGCAGTGTCCTGGGGCCATGTGATCACCTTTTGTGACCCTCTGACAAACAAAGTCAATGGGAAAGCCAAATTCATTTAACAACGATGCTACCAATTTACCAACTGCAGTGATTCACTTAACAAATGTGGCAAGAAAGGTCATAAAATGGAGCAAAACTCACTTAACAAATTTCTCACTTAGCAACATAAATTTGGGGCTCAAATATGGTTGTAAGTCAAGGACTACTTGTACCTGTTTTTCTTTTTCTTTTTACAGTAGATAGGTAGTATGTCAAATTGGTTGACTGATAATAGAAGCCATGGTGGCCCAGTGATTAGAATGCAGTACTGCAGGCTACTTCTGCTGCCTGCTGGCTGCCTGCAGTTCAGCAGTTCAATTTTTACCGGCTCAAGGTTGACTCAGCCTTCCATCCTTCCGAGATTGGTAAAATGAGGCCCCAGATTGTTGGAGGCAATATGCTGACTCTGTAAACCGCTTAGAGAGGGCTGTAAAACACTGTGAAGCGGTATATTTCTATTGCTATTTTCATATCTGTGATATTTTTAGTATTATGTACTGATTTAACAAGAGTTGTTTTGCAAGGGTGGGGAATTATTATTGTTGAAATTTATTTATTAGTATTCAATCACGGGAGACATGTTATGTGTTATGTTTAATATTTTGTTTTACACACAATACGCACATACACACACACACACACACACACAATCCCAATATTAATTCTAAATAGCTATTTTATTCAGATTGATAGTCTCACATGGAAATTTACATGATAGGATAGGCAACCAAGGATTTCATGGTAAAGTTGAGACTACCTATAGATGATGGGGTTTTCCTTACCAGATTGTCAACACTGTCATTTACTTTATCATCTGTATTTAAGGTAACAAAATTTCATAATTAATTTGTTGGCTATTACTATTTTTGTAAATTACCTTTTTCCTGTGTTTCTTTTATAAAATAGCACTTTTTTTAAAAAAAAAGCCATCTTTATATTTGATTGAGAAGATCCCCATATAAACAAAATGATTAATGTAGTTTGGCTTTGATGTCTTTTTCCAAAAGTCCAAAGAAAAACCCCTTGTAATCTCAGAAGTAAAGAGATATCATCACAGCCTATTTTTCAACTCTTCTTTTTCAAATAAACCTATGCTTTGTAAGGGAATCAAGTCTGTCTTTCAGAATTATCTTACACCAAGGAAATCTTGCCATATTGGCCCCAAACCATCCAATAAAAGACTCAAAACTGTTTGGAATCTAATAGCATGTCATGATAAATTAGCATCAGGAAGACAAATTTCCCTTTCCAAAGTTGATTTTATTTGACACATTTTAGAAAATATTAACTTTCAATGAGTGTATTTTTATAAATTGCAGCTCAGAACTGCATTCATTTTTTTAAAGTGCTTTCCTTCATTGCAGAATTGGATTAATTACTTACCTAGGATCACAAAGAAACTTGATCTTTTCTCCTTCTTCCCTCCAAATCAACCATTCTCGAAATGAAGGATGTACAAACATTCGGGTCATATCTCTGCGTCTGATAAGAAACATAGAAAGGTTTTCCATTCTTTGCTGAAAGTCCTCCCATTCTAAAGTACCTTCAACACTCCCAGCATTGATAGCCTGAAAAATATGCTCATCTGTCAAAGGATGTAGAGATGCCACTGCCACATTCAAAAGAGGCATTACCCGGTCAAAGGAAGACTGTGTTGGGAACTTCATATTGCACTGCAGTAGATATACTTCCGAAAGGGAGACAGGCACTACCTTATAACTGGAGCTTTTTAATACCAAATAGCCCTTCTCAATTAGATCAAATGTGAGCTTAAGATATAAGTATGATCCTTGACTCAGGGTTTTGAGATGAGAACTGAGTTTGCCAAAGGTTGTATTGTCCATTTTGCCATTAAGAGAGATGTTATTTTGTATTTCCGAGCTGCTCTGTATTCGGTGTAGTATATAGGCTTGAAGATCTTGGTCTATAGCTTCATTTTCTTCCAGTCTATCCAGGAATATCCTATGGAAGGGCAATAACTTTATTATTTCCTAAAGGAGAGAGAGAGAAGAAAAAAATGAATACCAGATAACCTGAAGAAAGATTACATACAATATCACTGTATGAAAACTAACAATCTTTTACCTCCCAAATAGCATCACAAACCATATGTACTGGATTTCTTATGCTTGGACCAAATCACTGCTGCTTTCTTTGTTTAAAACATTATTATGCTTTTGCATTGAAAATAGTACAGAGTCCCTGCTGTTAGGCTTACAATCTAAAAGATATGAAACAGAACAAGGGGTGATCAAGGGAACAGGAAAAAGTACAATTTTTATTCATAAAGACTTTTTAAATGCCCAAGGATATGTGAAAATAACATTTTAAAAATTCTAAAATCCATTTGAAAGAATAAGGTGATGATAATATGAACATTTTCTGGAGGCAGGTTGTTCCACTGGTTAATTGTTCTGTCAGGAAGTTTCTCCTTAGTTCTAGGTTGCTTCTCTCCTTGATTAGTTTCCACCCGTTGCTTCTTGTCCTGTCTTCAGGCGCTTTGGAAAATAGCTTGACTCCCTCTTCTTTGTGGCAGCCCCTGAGATATTGGAACACTGCTATCATGTCCCCCCTCGTCCTTCTCTTCATTAAACTAGACATACCCAATTCCAGCAGCCGTTCCTTATATGTTAGCCTCCAGTCCCCTAATCATCTTTGTTGCTCTTCTCTGTACTCTTTCTAGAGTCTCAACATCTTTTTTACAGCA